TGACCCATCACGCGCCTAACGTGCGTGTAAACAACCCGGATGAGTTAATGGATAAAAATGGCCAATTTACAACGATATATAGTTGTTTAGTGGTGTGATAGGACACTTCAAAAGTGTAGGTGTCTTTATGCTAATATGGGACAACTTCGATGGTCTCTTTATGTCTTTTCTCTATAATATAATATAATATAATATATGGAAAATATATTTGGCAGGAGAGGATTTTGCACGAAATGGAACGAGCAACAAAATTCAGGTAATTTCGTAATTTCTCTGAAGGGAAAAATTACACGGGATGACAAATATTTTTATGTAATTAGTTAATAAGGGTATAGTTTAATTTATTTACGGTCAGTAAATACAGTTTTAATTTTTTTACCATAATTAATGGGACCGACTATCTATTTATATACAGAATAAAAATAGTCATCCAAAGATTTTTACATAATGTTATTCAAAATCAAATTTATCTCTCCTATTCTCATTCCATATCTTTTCCTAAAATTACTCTTCCCTTTTGATTAGAATTTCCATCGAAAAAATTTTGACCTTCTCCCTCCGATGTTCTTTCACTTTTCGCAGGTAACAGCCAAATTCATGGCTTTCAATATTTTTTTTCTTGATTCCTTCTATAACAATTGTATATGTAGGTAGTATGATTGTTAGTTTTTTCATATTTTTTTTTAAAAAAATCTTTATTACTTATCAGATTACAAGTCTTTCAAAATGAGAATGGATGATTTCTCTCCATCTATGAGGATTACGAGAGGTATGTCAATGTTGTTGATAATTCACCTTCGTTTCAATTGGGTTAAGTTAGGATTCTGGGTCAATGTAGGGTCTATGACAAAACATAAACAAGTTTAAGTTGAACAATCTATTGAAAAATTGAGATCCATGAAAAAAAATGACCCAATGGCAATTCATAAAGTCATCAACAACGCGAAATCTAGCGGCATTAAGATTGTTGTAGGTGGAAGTAAGAGAAAAGTCATTAACATTGATTCAGAAGAGATTGAATCTGCCTCATCAGAACTGGACAAATCTGAAGAATATAGGGAAGATCAGGTAGTGTAGTTTATACACATATTACAAAGTTATGTATATAGTGGTTTGTATATTAAGCTAATATGTACAAAGTATTATGAAACTGTTCTTAATTGATATTCTATTAATTGTATACCAATTACTAAAGTTAGGTATATAGTGAGTTGTATATTAAGGTAACAAGTTGTATATTAAGGTAACATATACAAAGTCTTATGAGGCAATAGCTATTTGTATACAATTATTTAATTTTGTATAAAAAAAATTGTTAAAATCACTCTATAGTACATATACAAAATTATAATACATTATACAAATTCGTCGATATATACAAAAAATTATGAACATAATAAAATATTATATATAAAAATGTTACACACTCAAATATCGAAACATATTTCAAGCTTACTATATATACAATTAACAAATGAATATTATACACAATCAGTTTAATCATTAATATTTTTTTTTTAAAAAAAACATGAAATTAGAGATGCACATATATAACTATAATATACATACCAAAATTATTGTACATTATACAAATTCCTAGATATATACAAAAGAAAAAATAGGAACATAATAAAATATTTTGTGGGCCCAACGATGATTGATTTTTTTTAAGCTAGTGTCACGTATGCCGAAAGGGGGTAGAAAATTACTTATAAAATAAGTTCAGGGGTTGTAGGACTTAAGTATAGTATAAGTGTGTTTCTGTGATTTCGGGCATAGGTTAAGGAGTATTTGTACATTTTCCCTAAATTAATACTAAATATTAATTAATCGGAATCGAATCGAAACCAAAATAAATCAGAATAAACCGATACCAAATTTCGGTTCCATTCCTTTTCGTATCCCGATTTGGAATATTCCATTCCATTTCGTAAGCAACCGAATTCAGACGAATCGAAGCGGTTCTGATACATCCCGTTCCGTTGCCCAGCCTTATGGTTAACCATAGGCTCCATTTATATTGTTTCACGTGAAAACTGTTGGGTCCCATTTCAAAAATTGACCAAAATCAATTTTTCTCTCTCTCTTCTTTAAACGTTTTTTTTTCTTTTTCTTACTTTTTTTTTTACTTTTCTTTTCAAATTGATGTTTCAAAGTTCTCTACTTCCATACTTATATAATTTCATTCATGGAAAATATGAAAATATGAAATCCAAAAAGAAAATATTCATTATATTTCTAACGGGATAATGCCCAAGTACCCCCTCAAACTATGCCCGAAATCTCAGAGACACACTTATACTATACTAAGGTTCTATTACCCCCCTGAACTTATTTTATTAATAATTTTTTACCCCTTTTTAGCTTACGTGGCACTATCTTGTGGGCCCAACGATGGTTGACTTTTTTTTTGAACTAGTGCCACGTAGGCTAAAAAGGGGTAGAATATGACATATAAAATAAGTTCAGGGGGGTAATAGGACCTTAGTATAGTATAAGTGTGTTTCTGGAATTTCGGGCATAGGTTGAGGGGGTACTTGGGTATTTTCCCTATTTCTAACATTTTAATATTATTTTTCTATCTCACAATTAATTATTTATATTACTAGAAAAAATAGTTAGATAAAATTATTTGTTAATTTACAAAATATAGTTGATTATATATTTTATTATTTTATTATAACATTTTTTTCTTTTTGTAAGTGTAAATAGAATTTATAAATTTTAAAAAGTTAAACGTAAACTAGTAAAAAAATCATTTTATTTATGATTTGAAATTTGTAAAAAGAATAGCATAAATTTTGATACTAATTTCAAAAAGAAAATATAACAGGAAGAGCATAAATTTTCTTGACAAACAATTACATAAGTTTGATACTAATTTCATGAAATTAAAAAATCGGAAAGCATTCATAAATACTCATTTAAAATTTACTAGTGATATTCAATAAAACTTAAATGAATAGTATTACTAGTGATACTATCTCATTTAAAATTTACTAGTGATACTCAATAAACAACTGATATGAAAGAGAGTAAATATATGTTCTTTCGTAATTATAAATGAATGTTATTGCAGCATAAATGGTTAAAACTTAAACGAATAGTCTATAGGTCACGAATTTAAATCTAAGTTTAGATCCCCAATTCTAGATAATTTTATTCTTTTTAAGTTTATAGGTCACGAGAACTTCTTAGTTTTTTTTTCCAGGCCTATCGTATGCACCATCAAAATATTCATGATTTTGGAACAACAAACTATTATCCTCATCTAACTCCAAAACATTATTCAATACTTCATTTAATTGACTATTCTCAGATCCGTCTTGTTAAAATTATAAATCTAACAACAAAATAAATCTTAAGCAACGAATGAATCAACAAAATAAAATTAAACTGATTAGTAAAATAAAGAAGAAAAAAATATAAAGTAAAAGAGAGAGTAAATAAGAAAGAAAAAGTTAATTTCCTTTTTTTGGAGGAAAAAAAACAAGGGATTTAAAGTCAAAAAGTTATTTGGTCATTTACCCATATTTTGTCAATTCATGCCGAAAGAATTTCTTGCCATTTAGCAATACTATATAATATAATATTTCCGTGCATTTTAATTTTGTCAATATGCATGCACAGCATGGTAGGAAGACATTGTCTAACTTGTCGAGGATGGAGAGGTGGATTTATGGTTAATATTATTTACTTGTTCCTTATATTTTAAAAAAATCATTTTATTACTTGTAAATTTGACATCTCAAACAATAGATAATTTCTCATTATTGTTATATTGTTAGGAGTGACTATCTATTTTAGATTATATCTAAATTAATTAAAAATTATACATCAGTGGACATCATTAAAAATTATACGTTATATATCTTGAATGAATGAAAGTCAACGAAAAAAGTAAATCTTTAGATTTTAAAATAAGTAAATCACTACCTAAAACATGAAAAAAAGATAAGCATCACCATCTTCTAGATAAATTTGAGTAGTAGCTAATTAACCTACACCTCCTTAGGTATTTTAATTTTTACGACTTGAGTTTGCAATTCATTCAATTGATGAGTTTTTATTTGCATTGAATATCGTAATTTAATATTCACCGATTTTTAAAATTAAAAGGGATATTAATTAAAGTAACTTCAATTAAGATTTTTTCCCATATTAGACTAGAAATAGGTCAAGAATAATGTTTTTTTTAACAAAAAAAAAGTTAAATACCTTGATCTTGTGAAACATCGACTATTTTAAATCAACTTTTAAAAACTAAAACACCAATCATTCAAAACAGGTGGGAGTTACTAATTAGTCTTGTTAATTATTAATATAGATAAATATATAGTGAATAAAAGAGTAATTTGTCAATGTTATCCTTTCTGACTTTTCCCAAACTTTTCGTAAAAATCGAGATATAATCCCTATTTGAGATTTAAAAATAAATTAAAATCCCATTAAAATGAAGGATAAATCTAATACATTAGTATTTCTTATATATTCTTAAAATTTTGAATAATTTATAAAAAAATATAAAATTACCGACCTGCATTGATCATTGATAAGTAAAAGGTATAGCTTAATTTGAGTTTGGCATACCAAATTAATCTAAAGGTATGGTCAAAGTTAGCTTCGCTCTACTTAGTTAACACCAAAAATATAATTTAGGAGTATGTTTGAATTATCTTTTGGCTTTATTTGGTTTTCTGAGTTGAAAGTTAGATAGTAGGTACCATCTCATTTCATAAAGGGATATCAATTTTAATTAAGATGTAATTAGCCAAATTAAACTCCTTGTATGAAAATTAATATGAAAAAAATGAAGTTCAGTTCGTTGAAACTAGGCTTGCTTTGAGTAATTATGGATATGTACTAGCAATTTTATAGTTCTTAGGATAGATTTGTATGCACAACTTCCAACAGAACTAACTACTTGTTGAGCGAGCTGATTTATTTGGATCAAAAAGACTTTAATATGATCGATACCCATGGTTATTAGTGTTTCAAAATTTGTTGGGGACAAAAAGACTTTTTTTTATTTTTGGATCATAGTATTACTATTACAATACCAAGTCAAAATATAACAGAAAATAGAAAAACATGAATTAAAGGATCTGACATCAACATAGAAAATGAACCACCTAATGTTTGAAAAGAATTTCATTGATCAATTTGTCTATGTTCACATAAGATGATCCTGTTGGTTTTGCAGCTGCTTCTTCAGCTGATTTCTTCCATTCCATTGCCTTTTTCTTCATATCTTTACCTTTCTCGCCCACCATCAACTCTCTCACAAGACTTTCAACTTCATCCCTTTTCACATTATTGTCAATTTCCATCCCGATTCCCCATTGGGTGCATTTGAACCAACAATTAGTCTGTTGTTCCGCGAAGAATGGCCAGCAGATCATTGGCACACCATTGCCAATACTTTCAAGGGTCGAATTCCATCCACTGTGAGTCAAGAACCCTCCAATAGCAGGGTGGCTTAGGACTTGTTCTTGCGGGCACCAACTTGTTAACATCCCTCTTTCTTTAGTTTCTTCCACAAATTCGGGTGGAAGAATTGCTTCTTCCCCTGATACAATATCAGGTCTTATGATCCATAAAAATTCCATCTGACTGTTGGCAAGTCCCCATGCGAATTCAATAAGTTGGTTTGCGGTCATGACAGTGATGCTTCCAAAATTTACATAAACAACAGAATTTGGTTTCTTGGAATCAAGCCATTCTACACTTTTTGGATCCTCTTTCCAAAGATTGGATCCCAAGTGCTCCAAATTCTTGTCCTCAATGTGTTTTACAAGAAAATGGAGGGGGCCAATCGCGTAGACAGGAGGAAGAAGTGGTTGAAGTGATTCAAGAACTTCCTTCTCTAATGGATCAAATGTATTGATTACAATAGCAGAAGCTAATTTGCTTCTATCCGTTTCTTGGATGAGGAAGTTAAACATAAAATCATCTGAATTTGTACTTCTCAAAAAACTTGGTAAATCCCTCAGACGTATTCCTTTCATGCCTGGTATCCAATCCAAAGCCGTCTCCAAATAACCATTCGTTAAGTCTGTTACATCTACACAAGAACAAATGTTAAAACACAAACATATATAAAAACAGGACAATGAAACAGAGTATACCTTTAAGTGGAAAGTATCCCTTTTTAGCAAGTTCATGGTAATGCAGGTAACCTAAAGAACCACAAGCACTTGGAGTCCAAAAGAAAACTTCAGGGATGCCTAATTCTTGAGCAGCAGCTAGAGTGAAGCTCATACAACCATCGGAAATGATGCACGAGACAGTTGGGACATTAGATGAACAAGTGTCATTGAGCTTTGCAAGCAATTCCTTGAATGGGCCTAAACAAGTTTTGGTAGTGGATTCACATAGAGCAGGAATATCTTGAGTTGAATCAGCATCACAAGGTGGGAGGCCATCAGGAATGGTCTCGAATCGAAAGGATGGCAAACCTTTGAGGGAATCAGGGCCGCGAGACTTGAGTAGACGTCTATGATTGTATTCATTGTTGACAAAAGTGATGTGAAATCCTTTGTAATTGAGGATTTTGGCTAATTTTAACATTGGATTGATATGGCCTTGGGCAGGGTATGGTATGCAAACTGCATGAGGCTTGTCATGATTTCCGGTGGAACCCATATTTCCTGGGGGGGGGGGGGAAGATTATGGTTTGTCTCAAAGTGTAACTAAAGGGGGAAAAGATGTGTTTTGACTTTGGCTAGTTGAAGAATATATATATATATAGAAAAGGTAGTGAGATGATAATTATGAGATTTCAAAGTTAAAGATTATAAAGGGAAGCAAGAAATATGGAACTTAAAGAAGTTGTCAAAGTTGAATTCCAAAACCTGAGCAGTGGATACAATAAGAATCAGAAGCTTTAACTTTCTCGAATCAATAAGAAATTCTATTTCTGAATATCAAGCCTCCTAATTTTAACGACTATGAACACGGTTAGAACTATCCGTTTCAATTTATTTAACTTGCTTTTTCTTTTAGTCCGTCTTACAAAGAATATTAATTTTCCTTATAAGTAACTTTTTAATTTTAATTTTTGATATTGTATGTTTGAAACTAAAAGATTAAAGAATGGATAAAATTTACTCATATCGAGTATTTACATTAATCACATATTTTATATTTAAAATCATAAATTTCAAAAAATTAAAATTATTTTCATAAATTTCGTATCGGATAGAATAGGACAAACAAATTAAATTATACATAAAAATAGCTATTAAACATTTTCTAATATAAAAAGTAGTACTAATATTTTTATGGTATGAGTTGTTCTTTCTTTTTTCTTCTGTCACCTGGCGCACAGCTTTCTTAAAAAGAGATTCTAAAATGAAAAATATATACGAGTTATCATATAATAATTATCATGTCATATACCCTCTAGAAAAAATAATGATAATTATCGTAATCGTTATCTTCTGAAATGTATACATCATGAAGGTGTTTATCGATTCTTATCAAACTTAAACTATGTTTAAGAAAATGTTAATTAAAACAATTTAACTACCTGATTCTCTTGGTTGGATGGACTCCACACTTCGAACAACCAGTTCACTAATTTAACATCCGTTAATTTAATATATATCTTCGTGATTTATTCAATATAGCATAATTATATAAAAATAATATAATAAGTATGTTAAGTTACAGCTGTCATATTAATATTAATTAATATACTAATAAAACCGGTGATTGACTTGCCCAATAATAAATCATTAATAATATACAACAATAATAATAACATATTTAATAAAATTTCATAATAAGATCTGGGAAAATAGAATTTATACAAAATATCTTACATCTACATATGAAGGTGTATACAGAGAAACACGATTCTAATATAACTCCCTATTACATGCAATTATTTTAACCGTAAATAAAAAAATATAGCACATCCAAAAAAATAATGCATAATCTGCTATAAAAACGATCTACAACAATAATTAAATAATGCAACAATTTGACTATAGTAAAATTGAATCGACTCAAAGGTTAAGTCATGCTACTTTGAAGTTTCAATGCAACGTGTAACAAGTGACAGAAGATTATTGCATTTAATTAGTTGATTGGTAATTGATTCCATTTGACATAGTTTATGTGACCGCGAGCAAGGGATGGGAGTATTGTTTATTTATTTTTATAGTTTAAAATGTGTATTATTCAAATTTCAAAGTCCAAGAATCTATTATAATAATTTATTTATTTATTTAGAATAATCTTTCCTTATAATGGGGTTTTTTAATTATTTTTAATCTAAAATAGTGATTATTATTTATCTCTATTTCTAAAAAGAGTTTGAAAAAAATCAAAAGTATAATATTAACAAATTACTTTTTGATTAATGCCTTAAATAGAATTATTGATGTTTTAGTTTTTTAAAGTTAATTTAACATAACTAATGTTTCATAGGATCAAGGTACTTAATTTATTTTTCAAAAATGAATTATTCTTGACAAATTTCTAATTCAATATGTAAATTTAATGATAACTATACTAACTATAAAAAAAAAAAAAAAGAGGGGGGTGCGGGGGGATCCAATACAAAAAAAGCCATTATTTGAATGAAGGGAAGAATTCCATACAAAACATAAGCAATAAAAATTAAAGTATTCTTTTAATTAATTGAAAACAGCTAATGTGGTATAGGTTAATTATATACTACTCAAACTTATTTAAGGGACGGTGATTCGTATCTTTACAACTTTTATACAGTGATTTGCTTATTTTTTAATTTAAAAATCTACTCTCTTTTCACTTACTTTTATTTATTTACTATAGACTTTACGTCCTTCTTAAAAAAATAAAAATGAAGGGTATAATTTTTTAAGTAATTTAAAATAAATAATTTATCTATGAATACACCAAGAGAAAGAAATTGTGTTTAATTTGATAAGTAAAAAGTGAAAATTTATTTAAAATATAACAAAAGGAATACTGGGTATCCTCGACATGTTAGACAATATTCCGCCCGATTCTAAAAGGATGATCTAGTTTGATTTGGAAAAAAGTTTAAAAAAAGAAAAAAGACTTTTTAATCTTGTGGTTCTAAATTAAAGTTATGTCAAATTTATTAAAATGGTCTTTAATTTTGTGGTCTTAAACATGTCACGTGGAAAAAATTAAAATTAAAATTATTACCAAAAAAAGAAATATATCGTTTATTTTAAAACAAAATAAAAAAAATAGAATTTTTTTTTTTGAAACGGAGGGTGAATCTTCCTATCATCCTGCAATGATGTGCGTACAAATTGACAAAATTGAAATCAACGATGAGATTATATTATATCATATTATATGATACTCCGTGGCATATCTCGATTACAGCGATGTAATACCTAGGATTATTATTGCAATTAGAAATAATTATGGTGATTGGTTTCATCAGTCACGACTCATGTGAGTGCAAGTGGGACACCATTTGAGGTTTTGTTTTTTATTTATATCAACTCCAAATTTTAATCAAAATCAAAGGTTACAGATGATTTAAGGGTTTACTTCATTAGACTTGAGTTCATTCACATTCAACATTTATCTTTGCACAAGTATTGATACTGTAGTGAGCTTTTAATCTACTATTTGCAAAATTATCAATTTCCATATTGTGATGAGATTTTGTAATCAGAATCATTGAAAATTATGAATAAGTAAATATGAACAAAGTGTATTAAATTTAACCCTAATACTTTCAATAACGAAAAAATACAAAGTCAAACACACAATTAATAGGGAGTTTGGTCACTAGCTTGCTATTTTCTATAATTAATGTCTTAGGCATTATACCTCTAGTTTCTAATTCAATTAAGTAAAAACTGAATTAGTTATCTCACTATTAATTGTTATTACATATATTCTTAGAAAAATGCTCAAATATGATATTGAATTTTAAAAAAATGTTCATTTGTAGTATCTTTTAAAAGTTTGACTTATCTATGTCATTGTTGTTAAAGAAAAAACTCATCTATGCCTTTTTTTAACTCCAGTTTACCACTTTTTACATCCCAAACAAAGTTAAACACTTTGAATTGAAGTTTTTGAATCAAATGTACTCTTTTTTCTTATTCTTCCTTAAGAATTATTCATCAAGAACATAAAGAACATTAACAATTCTCAAATTTCAAACTTCTTTAATTCTTCATTCGGTGTTCGGAGATCATATTGGAGCCTCGAATAAATCAGGTTTGTGCATTCCAAGGAGCAGTCATGGGTGATGCTCCCAACAAGATTATCTCTATATTCATGACTCAAATTTGTAACCTCTAATTAATGATAAAAAAAAACTCATCATTGCACCACAACATATGTTGGTTAGTTTTGAGAAATTGTTTCTTCCTCCTCATCTTCATCTTGATCAAAACCAAATAATATATTATTGGTAGGAGCTAAATAAGTGTAAATTTTGCATATAGCATTTTTTATAGTAATATTTTCAAGTTATAGCATAGATTTTGAGCTTCAATATATAACATTTAATATCTCAAGTTATAACATATTATTAGAAAAAAAAGGTCGATTTAAAATAATTGAAAATATTTATTTTTTAAATAAAATAAAAAGGAAAAAATGTTTATGTATTAATTGGTAAGTAGCACGAATTGTGGATGGATAATTAACAAATTAGCGAATTGAAAAAATATTTAAATTATTCAGTCTTGAAATGCTCAAATTAGTTTAAATCAAATTAAAACATGATTTTTCCTTCTTCTTTTTTTCTCTCTATCACGTATCTCACTCTTCATCCGTGTTTGCAGAATTTATACTCTCATCTTTTTTTACTGATCAATTTTTTGTTGTTGTGAAAAAATTGTGATTTGTTGTGATGGACAAGAAATTATCAATATTAATTAAACATGGTGGAAGATGGGATACGTCATGTTGGTATTTATTATAGTTTTCTGATTTGTTTTTTGTAATCTCTGTCTGTTAATAATAAAGTTTGTCATGTTTTTGTTTCACAACACATTTTGGTAGGTAAACATGTTACATTATACAATAAAAAATGTTATATACGATTTTTTAGACCAATAACATGTTACATTATAAAAGTTTATTAAAATTGAAAATATGAGCAAAAGTTATAATCTGAAAATATAAAACAAATTGATATTATGGTGTGTTATTTTGTATTTCAAATTCATTGTATTAAAAGTGTTGTAAGATTGTACGATATTTATTTTTTTGTTTGGTAATTTTTTTTTGTTATTTGTAGATATGTGTAATATTAATGGAATTATTGGTGAAAAAATCGTATAAAATTGGTCAACATGATGTTAGTTGTATGAATTGCATATTAATATGGTATGGAATATGAAATGATAGTTTGTTTGTTTGTTTCTGATTTGTAATGCAATGTTTGTATTTTTTTTACATTTATAGTATGAAATGTGTATTTTAGTATTAAATATTTTTATTTTATTTTTTATTGGCATATTTTTTTGGAGCTATTTTTAATGAGCATTGATTTTCCATGTTAGGTGATTTTCTATGTTAGGTAAACTACCATATCTTTTAGTACGTAATGAATTCGGTGAGCTATGACATATGAAAATTGTTGCACCATGAGCTTTCTTTCAAATGTCACCAATTTTGTATCATTTAATGTTTCAAGAAAAGTATTATGACCATTTTATCAGAGACTAGTATAGTTGTAAATAAAAAAAAATTTCAAACATTCATAATTTTGGCTTTAGATGTTAGTTTCGGAAATATAAAAATTTTATTTCACGGTCCATACCTCATCTTGGGCTTATAAATACCTATAATTACCCATTCAAACTAACACACATAATTTATTAAATCATCACAAACACCTATAAAAAAAATTTGTCAAAAAACTACATGCAATCAATGTGTGTCTCTCTTGAAGGCAAACAATATATACTTCCATATATTGTAGTACATAATGAATTTGGTGAGCCATGACTTATGAAATTGCAGGACAATGAGTTTTCTTTCAAATACCACCTATTTTGTATCATTTAGTGTT